CAACATTAATTATTATTAACTAATGTTGGAATTCACTTTTTAACACTAACCTTAGATTCATTCTCTCAAGTTTCATCGTACGACTTAAATGATGTTCGGCTGAGCTTACAAGTTGTTAAAATGTTTAAGAGCTTATAAGGTCGGTTTATCAAAGTATTGGTAACTTTTTAGAAAAAAATCTTAAAAATTCAAAAAATAAACTGTTGAATAGTAAATATGATTTTTTTTTTAAATTACATCTACACTATTTTTTTATTTAAGATCTTAGTATTTATAATAAGTAAAAATAACTTATAAGCTCATTATCCAAACATTTTAAAAGTTAATTTAAAAAATAAGACGTACTAGACTACTACCAACTTATCAGCTTTTAAAACAACTTATCAGACCACGAGCATATCAATTATTTAAAATAAGTTTAGCCAAACAGAACGTTGAACAATTATTACCAAATTCACACAAGATTTGAAGTGAAATTCACAAATCAAGATCCATCAAAAAAACATTATGCTATAAACAATTTTCTTTTCTCATTAGAAATTTTGGAAAGAGAGCTTCGTTTCACAATCTTAAGATTACACGTGTCCATGTCAAGTAGAAAGCAGAGAGAGCCATTAGAGAAGAAGAAGAAAACAAAGAAAATAAAAGAATGGCCACGAGGAAAAATCACTCAAAGATTCTTTTCTTTTTTTTTTTAATTTCTTTTTCACCCTTTTTCAGCCAATTACTACAGTTGTACTCCAAAACCCCCTTTTCCTTGTTTTAACCAGACACCTTCAATGCGTGTATAGGTACGTTTTTTATCTTCTGCATCTTCTTCATAGTTTTCTTCTTCAAAAGTATGGCTATCTAGATTTAAACATATATATATATGCGTTGTGCTGTAGAAAGCAGATTTGGTCTTTGGTCCAGAGGTAATGACAGTGAAATTGGTCTGTGTAGTCTACTTTTTGTCTCTCTCTCACTTTCTCTCTCTACATCCTGTTTAACAACAACTCTTTCTCTCTCTACCCTGTTAACAACTCTTTCTCTCTCTTATTTTCCCTCTTTCTCTCTCAACATTGCTATTCCATGGCTTCCTGCAGCAAAATGCATCTGAGCTACCACTCCAAACCCACATGAAAAAAAAACTCAATTATTTTTCACAGATTCGATTTCTTTGAGGTAAATAAACCCTTTTTAATTTTTTATTTTATTTTTTTGTTGTAGAATTAAACTGAAGAGTGGTGAAAACCGAACAAATTTAATCTGCAGAAAAAATGAAGGATTTTCCGTCTTGCTTCGGCGAAAATGGTGTCCAAGTTGCAGATTTCTCATCTTCAAACACCAGTGGCAGTAGTGGTAATTATAACAGCAGGGCGGCACCACCTCCGCAAAATGCGGTAGCCTCAATTTATCAGTGCAAATTCCACACCAAGCCCTGCTGGATTACAGTCACGTGGATCAAGAATTTGATGGGCCAAACCCTAACCGTCGGAATCGACGACGACGACGGCAACAACACGAATCAATCGCTCTGCAAAATGGACATCAAACCGTGGTTATTCTCTAAAAAAAAGGGGTCGAAAGTTCTCGAGGCGGATTCGTTTAGAATCGACGTTTATTGGGATCTTTCCTCCGCTAAATTCGGATCCGGGCCCGAACCGATTGAGGGTTTCTACGTGGGGATCGTATTCGAGAAGGAAATGGTTCTTGTTTTGGGTGATTTGAGGAAAGAAGCACTAAAGAGAACAAATTGCACCCCATCTTTATCAAGAAGTGTTGTTTTAGTGTCGAAAAGAGAGCATATTTTTGGGAAGAAGGTTTTCACCACTAAGGCGAAGTTTTCCGATTTTACCCCTGCCCACGATCTTGCGATCGAGTGTGATAATTCGATGGACGAGCCTTTTCTTGCGATTCGATTGGATAGTAAGTTGGTTGTGCACGTGAAGAGGCTGAGGTGGAAGTTCAGAGGGAATGACACTATTAGGGTTGACGGTGTTGACGTGGAGGTTTTTTGGGATGTGCATAATTGGTTGTTCGGTACGACCTCGTTCGGGAACGGGGTTTTCATGTTCAAGACTCGGGATTCTTGTTCGGGCGAGAAATATTCTTCCCGTCTTGATGACGTGGCGGTGCAGTGTTCTTGGTCGCAAAGATTGCGAGATTCGAGATCGGAGAGCGTCGGTTTTTCATTGGTTTTGTATGCGTGGAAGAACGAATAGGGGAGAGGAGTTAGGAATTTGATATCGAATTTGAGTGGTAATAGATATTGAGCGAGCTTTTAATTGTTTACGACATTGGATTAATGATTATATACTTGGTACAGATTGTCATTTTTTTTCTTCCTATTTTAGTAAGAAATCGAGAAATCGGAGAGAACTTCAATCAAATTCCTTCTTCTTTTGTTGTAAATCTCTCTCTTTTTTTTCTTGATGATTTTTATTCAATTGATTTCTATGGAAACTTAACATGTTAATTGAGATTAGTTCTTTCGATGTTTGTGTTATTCTCTTTCGGATTACCTCTTTGCGAGTGCCCATGTCAATAGGTACCGTAAACGAAATAGTTTGAAGAAAATTTCTGGGTTTTTTTTTGCAATCTTCAAACTTGTAGTTTGCTCAATATAAGGTGTATTGGGATAGATATTTAGCACATAGAAGATCATATAGATTCTAATTTAAAACATTTATTAATAATACTGGTGGTGTAGGATCTACACCTTAAAAACCTTTTTCAGAACCTTACTCTCTTAAAGCGCCGGAAAGCCAACCTAACGGTGGTGTTATAGCGGGCCAAGGTAAATTGAACTAACGAAAAATATATAAGAATCAAGAGAGAACTTGGAGTAGAGTATGTTGTTATTAATTATTCGATAAAACGTAACCCTAATTGGGTCTTTCGACTTATTTATATATGAAAACTCTAAATAGACATTTCCTATTTTAGAGCCCTAATTCATTCAAGATTTGATTCTGATAGTACGAATTGCCGCGTGCGATCTTTTGTATCCCTTAACTATTTATGGAGAAGATTCGCGAATCAAGCCCTCCAACGGTCTTGAGATCAGTTCGCCATCTACCGTGCCTCCTTCGTCATTGCCTTGGGCAGACAACGAGCTCTTTAGCTTCCAGAGACCTACATCACCGGTTCTTTATGATCCATTGGGCCACTCTGGCCCAATAAACCCGGAGTTATGGGGAGTTTGGTCCAATTGTGCCGAACTGACCCCCATCAAATATATAACTCAAAAACTTCAAATAGACCGCACGAGCACTCTTTTCAACTCGAGTAGTCATTTGGTTGTGCACCTTCAAGCCTGGTTTTGACCATTATGTCTCTCAAGTTAAAACATGAAAGTTTTAGACCTGCTCGCCTTTATGTAACATTTTGAATGATCTCAATCGAACATCAGATGAGATAGATTTGTCTTGAATAGAATCACAACGTTCGAACAAGATAGGCATGGTTATGAATTAGAAGGGAAATAAAAGGAGGAAAATTCGTCGGACGAGCCGAATTCCATGCTTCCGACATTCCCGCGTATCTCTAGCAATAAAAGTGGGCTAAAAGAAAATGCAAACAAGCTACACAAACTTGGGAATTATCCACAAGTAAGAAACTCAACCCAATAAGAATTTTCAGCCCATCATTGATTTTCTCAGTTGGACTTTATGTTATTGATATAATGGATTTTTTAACTTACAAAAAAAAAAAAAAAAAAAAAAAGGAGCTAGTATATATACACATATATATTCCTTTGTCTTTTGCAATTAAAACTAAATTGTCAACAAAATATGTGTCCAATTGGAATAACATCAATGAAATTAATTTGCTAGGTAAGATATACTATGGGCCAAAATGGAGCATGTGGAAGGCACGAGAACCACACAAACTAACTGATATAATAATGAAATAAATCCAAAGCCACAAATATATTAACTAATAAGTCATTTTTCTTTAGTCTTTTTCACAATTCATTTTATGGACTGGCAATTTATATTCAGATTTATTTGGTATTTGAAGATAGAAATTTCAAAATATGTATTCACATAAAATATTTAAATAATATCACAATGTACGTATTAGATTAATTTAAACAATATCAATTAAAATTAAATTAAAAGCATGTCTATTTTTTTTATTATTATATTTTCTGTAAAAGAGCATCCACATGCAACTTTATATATCTAGATATATAAATATATAATATAATATAAGTAAGACTTGTTGAATCTTTGATACAAAAATACATTGACTAAAATTAATTCATAAATTATTTTTATTCCTTTTTTTTTTATCCTAGTATTTTAACCTCATTTTACAATTCTTTGTTTCTCATACTTTACATTATAATGTGTAAGATTTTTTATATTTACTCAATATAAATGTATGTTTTTCATGTCTTCAATTTTTTTTCCTTATATATAGATAGGATCGGAGCTCATATGAATAAATTTGCGATATGTAGCATCATAAAATTAATATAAAATATTTATCTCGTCGAATATTTAAAAATACTCAAATAACATAAAATGATATATTATGGATTTTATTATATTGGTAGAAAGAAAATGACACAAAAAAAAAAAAAATATCAACTTTAAACTTATTTTAAACAGTTGATAATTTCTTACGGATAAGTTGTTTTAAGAGTTGATAAGTTGTTACGTCTTATTTCTAAAAAAAATCATTCAGTGTTTGAATCTTGAGTTTATAAGCTATTTCTACTCATTATAAGATCATAAATAAATAAAAATGTATCAAACACTTAAACATCGCGCGGTATACCACCGTTTTTATTGGAATTTTCCTATAAGCGATACCATAAGTCACAGTTGGTACACTCAGATGTATGCGCGTGTGTGTCTATATATATATAAACTACTAACTCACTTATAGCTATAGGAACAAATATATATCATATTGAATTATTGATTAACATCAAATATTTCAAATTGAATATTACATGTGTTTTGACAGCTTACATTATCCAGACATGAAATTTGGATTTTTTTTCTAGTGGTCGTTTGTGGTGCCTCTCATCTTTTTTTGGGCCACACACATTTCATGTGCTGAATTCCTATAATAGATATTTCCGCAGTGGTGTTTTTATTTTTGTTGCATTATAGATTTGCAGATTTATGTCCTTTTTTTTTTCTGGTGCAGAGGTATGGACAAGTGTCTCGACTGCACTCGATTTACCGTCAATTATTAGGTTTAGAAAAGAGTCATTACCGTAAGGCAACTAAAATGGTGGTTTACGACCTCGTTTTTTTAAAGATTTTATCATAGTATAGTATAGTCAACACTACGATATACTGCGATATGTATCATGATACTATACGATTCCTATGGAGAGATGAAACTCGGGATATGTATCGATTGAAATCAAATAGCGATAAATATCGCTCGATATTGCTATACGATACGATATTTACGATATTTGTTTGCGGGTGATTTGTCAACCTTTTTGCACATTTAGGGGTGATTTGTCAACTTTTTGCACATTTAGGGGTGATTTGTGTGATTTTCATCACATTGGGGCGTTTTGTGCAATTTTCAACACATTTTTTTTATAACAATTGTGTGTGTGTGTGTGTGTGTGTGTTTTTTTTTCAATTAAGAGAAAACCAAAAAAGAAAATGCTTTAGATAAATTTTATTGTTCTCTTAACAAAACTAATAAATTTGTTTAACATCACATAAAACAAAAGCAATTTCTATTAGCAAAGGTAAATAAACCGACAATAACATTTCTAAAAACTATTATTTTTGTCCTAGTTAATAACTTAATGGTGAAACTATAATTTAGATTTGGCTTTGAAATATTAAGTTTTACATGTTTATTGTATTTTTATGATATGATATATATTTTGTACTATTTGTAATTGTAAGTCAAATATCTTACGATACGATACGATAAATATACGGTACGATATGTGGAGGGAAACTATACAACCATATTTTCCGATATGATAACAAATGTGAAAACTAAAAAAACGTATAGAACATAATTATCGATTCAATATTTGATAGGCGTCAAAGTTTCGATTCAGCACGATTCGATCAGTTTACCAAATCAATGAACACATTCATTCTATAGTTGAACAAGAAGTGGTGAAAGAAACATTTTTTTTTTTGCTCATAATTTGTTGTTAGGTGTCTGCAAAATAAACTTTTGTTTTTTGTTTTTCTTAAAATGAGTTGTTTTAGGTTGTAAACCCAAAAACACTCCTAGACCTGCATTTTCAATTCAAGTTATTTATCCAGCGTATTTGCAATCACCCGTAAATTCTAGAAATAAACACTTAAAAACTAACTTAACTCACAATCAATAACTTATATTTTTACCGACCAAAGACTATAGAGTTAGTTTGTAAATTTGAATTATAAAACATGTAAAATTCCACATAGGATGTCACTTCACAGTAATAGAATGAGGGGACAAAATTTAGAAGTAGATGGGCAAAAATCTATCCTCAAGATGGACCACGTCCTCATTTAATTTTAGAGCCTCATAAATATTTAAAATAAATAAATATATTATTTTAATTTTATCTGCAATGTTAACATCAAATACAAAGACAATTTTAAAATTATATATATATTCTAATTTATTTATTTTTCCCTCCTCGCTGTCACTTCATTCATTAAATCCGTTTGTTTGTGCATTTACTAAAATGTCCTCAACTCACTAATGTCTACACAATTGATGTTGATAAAGGACGAGATTAATAAACTATACTATTTTCTCCGTTTTTTGAATAGGTGTCGTTTGCAAATCTTAGGAAAGTCAATAAATATGTCTTGATTTTAGGAAAATCGATATTGTTAGACCAAAATACCCTTCTTTACTAGTTAATGCCGAGAAATTGCTGCAGAGTTTAGAGACCCGCGTCATCCAAAATTTGTAGGATTTCCTAACAAATGATGTATCAAATAGTTAAACTATGTGTTGCAGTGTTCTAAAAGTCGATCGAAGCGGCCGATTAATTGATCACCGAGGTCTGAAAAATTATGTTTTGGCATGTGAGGAGTCGGAGACAGGTCAAACCTTCGAGGTAAACATTAATTTTTCAAATCTAATGTTTTTTAATTAAAAAGAAATATGGATTCTTAGTTCAAACCCGTCATACTGTTCAGTTCTTCCATCTCTCGACTTTGTTCTTCCCGTAAGAAAGAAAGCAACGACGCACTCACTCACAACAGCCAAAACCGGCGGCAATGCTACATAGATAGAATCATGTTTAAATATGCTATACTGATCTTGTTATTATGAAACTTTTGTTACGTGATTAGAATATATAAATGATGTATATAATCATGTTGAAATATCTCTTTATACATGTTTTGAGTATTTACAAATACTATCTATAAATATATGATACCAAGTTTAAAAAATTAATTTACTTCCGATTTATCACCGATTAATCATGATGCAGTGCGTAACAACCTCCTAACCGACTCACGCTTATTAGAACCTTGACTTTTTGATAAT